CGTCTATAATCTCAATTACACCAGGACTTCACTGAACAAGCAAGGGATTGAGCAAGTTTTTTTCTTTCTCAACGCCTTCTACGATTCCCTGAATTATGAAAGATTCGGTGCATCGCCAGTTCCATATCACCCTAAACACTCGCAGAGACGTTTGGTCAACACTAAAGCCTACGCCCTCGCCTGTTCAAAGGCTAGTAATCGGATTAGCTCTGGCTCGATATAATTGACCTAGCCTTCTTTCGTCAAGGCGAGCCTTACCTCCGTAACTTGAGTTCGACGAACGGTACAAGGTAACTCGACTGCAGGGCCTAAGGAACGGAGTAACGGGAAAAAAGGTACATTGTTGCTCGACCGGAGGATGTAAGTAGTCTTTTCCGCTGGTACACTGATGTTCTTACTCGGTATTCTTTCTTATCGAGTTGTGGAATATTACACGGATCCGACTCCTTTCTTTCGTGGGTCTTACCAATCTAATCTGGATCTGGATCCAGAGCCACCAAGCAAGAGACCTGCTCTGTTGGAGACCTTTAATCCTCTCCTTTCGCTCCCTTCCTTTTGAACTCCCTTCCGAGGGCTCTTTGACTGAACTTCGCTTCGTTTGTTGCCCTCCAGAAAGAGAGTCCTTCCTGTACGAGTAGTGAAATACGAAATGAGAAGTTGGTTGTTGACCAACAGAAAGCATGGGAAAAACAATTAGACAAGCTACTCGGGTCGATGTAAGGGAGACATATGGTAGGTGCATCCTGAATCCAAAATCCATTCATCTGGATGAGATGATGAAGGTGAAACCACAAGTGAAAATTCTGAGGACCGGGATAGGGTTGCCCTAGGTTTATCCTCTTAGGAAAAAGAATATAGGGGAAGGTCCTTTCGGCTGAGGGTTTATACTGCTTGAGTTTCCCGGACTTATAGAGACGGCGGACATCACTCTCTGAAAGTACGAAACCCTTCGAGATAGTGAGAATAGGGAAGGAAGGACAGAGATAGTCCCCATCGGCCTTGCAAATAAGAGGGGACCCGTCTCCGAGTGATAAGTGGGATTGGGCATTTCCTTCAAGAGATCAACCAATACGCATACTGACGCAAGACTAGGCCTTGTAATCTTTCTGATTGGGGCGTCCATTGTAAGAACTCAGCCGCTAAAACAACAGACAAGGCTGAAGGTCAATTACACCTTCACTCGACTGAATTCCGAGGCTCGATAGTTTTGACCTGGTATGACCACCAAATGAAAGAGAAAATGCTAATTTGAGAGCGGAATCAAATGTACGAACGAAAATCTGGAATCTGTTTTGGGACTTAAGTCGGCTTCACCCAGATTGTGTTCAGCAAGGTACGTAGTAATTGACCAGGGAAGAAGAGACTAGCTTTTTAGTTCGGCTAAACTGTCGGCTAAAGGTAGGTAGTTGCGAGACCGGGTACTTACTTGACTGTGCTTTACCGGGGATGAATGCATTGAATTTCATGTGTAAAGCATGACGAGAAAGGACCGATTTAAGCAAGAAAAAGTGGCCCCGGGATTTTTCGACGAAATTCCGGTCAAAGGAGTTATTCCGCTATTTACACTTTCTTCGTCGACAGACACGGAAAGCA